AATTTATCTGTTTTTTTTATTTTCTTTCCTTTCTCTTAAAAAGCTTCCCATTTCAACCATAGATTAGTCTTACTCTGCCCACATGTTTTAAGAATTTTCTGTATTGTTACCAATATTTATTCTTTGCATTTCTTCAAATATCTAAAAGATTTCATATTTTGCTCTCTTTTGGTCTTTCTTTATGCCTGAATTCCTCAATTGGAGAGGAAGCAATGTTAAAGAGGAGTTCACTCGTCTCTTCCCCCGGAAGTCGCTTCGCTACACTTGCTTCTTGTTACAGACCGAGCCTCCCTTTTTGGAATATGTGTGCATGCTCTGATTAGGGGCCTGCCTCTGTACATTTTATTATTGACATGTTTGTTACTTCAAAATAATATTTTGTTGACTTTTCATTACTTGCACTATTTACCACAGTTTTAAATGTGTGGCAAAATACTTATGTAGGCCAGCAATTCACACACTCTTGACACATTACATCCTACATAGTTTTTCCCACTTGAGGGCTATGTTGTAAACATTGTCTCTTATCCTTTCCTATTTCGGTATGCCAAATGACAAATGGAACCTGATAATTTCTTGGTCCCTTCTTGAACTTTGAAAAATTTTGTGCATCATTTCGAGGAATCTTATATTTTAAAATACAATGCTTAATTTATTCTACATGTTCATGCTCAGGGTGGAGGAATTCAACGGAGAAATGCTCCCAAACTTAAGATGATCCGAGAAGAAGTAAGATATTATTGTTTTTAATTGTTTAAAAATGTCAGTTTAATACTTACTCTTTATCTTCTTAACTGTTTCTACTCATCACGAGTTGTGATACTCATAAGTACTTAGTGGACCTTGTAGATTATTGAGTCCATTTTTTGATAAATTGCTTTGTCTATTGATTTGGTAAAGTTGTACAATAGGTGTGTACAGTGGAAACCCCCCACAGTTTTAGGGTATTAGGTAAACAATTTTGAGTAAAAATTGTGTGTATCATGGAGTAGGGGCTGCTGAATCACAAAAAGTGATGGGAGGGTGACCCCATCACAAGCGAGCAGGTCCATTGAGGTGTTCGCTTCAAGCCATGTATCTCAGAAGGTAACTGAGAGGTCACATTGTAGGTGGCAAAACTACTCGAAGATGTTTTCTAGCCTCCACTAGCAGGGGGTGGTTTTATCGGATGAAGAGATGGCATTGTGGGACTGGCCCTCAATGAGAATGCAGGAGCCTGATTCTTGGTTGAATTGTTGCATGCCGCATAGAAGGGCATTGATTCGTAAGAGAGGCATCTGCTATGCATACTGGACCTGAGAAAGTGCTGACAGTTCAGTTTGATGACACCGGCCATTCCGGTCTTCCCTAAGGAGCTGCAATCAACGTTGAGTTTAATGACAATATTGTTCAGGGCAACCCCACAAGGAGGATGCCGGGGCTTCATTTGGGGAGAAATGGATTGTGTATTGCTACTAGTTGAGGAAGTCCAAGGTGTAGTATTTCTTTGTATTTTGTCGATAAGCTTTAAAGGTTTGCTGATCTTGCTCGTTCCCAATGGACCAAATGATGGCCCACATGGTTATGTGCCAACAGTAAGAGGCCCCCCTGCGGGCAATGGGAAGGGAGTGCTGATGTTTGAAGATGCCTTTAGTGTGTTGGGTGGCCTGATTTTAGTCAAACCATTGGAGGAAGAAAGCCCAAACTGACCAGACCAAGCCACAATGATTGGAGAGGTGGAGGTTCAATTCCTTAGCCATATAGCACATGACACACCTATCTGCTAGCTACCCTTCTTTCTAGCTTGTCTATGAATGAGAAAACTAAAGGCTTTTCTGGTCCCTATGTAATTGTTGGGATTATTTGAAGTCGGGAATGGAAGGAGGCCGTGGTAGTTAGGGTTAGAGTACTATAGTGGCTCTCTAATTTTTCCAAGAAATGACCCTTTTACTTCTAGTTATAGGGTGCATTCTTGCATGGTCCTTAAGACCATACCAGCTGAAGCTAAGGAGGGATCATGGTGTTTTGACTTGGGGTCTAGTGCCCACCTGTCTAACACCCGATGACTTTCTAAATCCTAAGCTTGTTGCCCCAGGGGGTCAACATATCTTTATGGGTAGTAGTAATAAAATAGAGATATTGGGTATTGGTGATTATGTCCTTCAGTTAGAGAATGGAAAGTTGATAGTCCTAAAGCAAACCCTTTATGCTCCAGTGATGAGGAGTTTGATTTCAGTCTCAAAGTTTGCTAAGGCTGGAAATTCCACTATATTTACTGGCAATAGGTGGAAGAAAAATTAGGCAAAGAAATTGTGATGTCTGGTCTTCTTGTAGATGGTTTCTTTTCAGCTGCAATAAAGAATTCTATTTCTTATGTTTCGTGTTATGATGATGATGCATGTATATGGCAATATGAGATTGGGGCATATAAATTATAAGATAGAGAGATTAAAGAGAGAAGGATTATTGAAAAATGTAAATGGTGATTGGACCAAAGTGTGTAAGTCTTGTGTGTAGGGAAAGCTAGTTAAGAAACCTTTTACGAAAACTCACAGAGCTGTAGGTGTTTTAGATGTTGTCTATAGTGATATTTGTGGACCTATGCATGTGGCCACTAAGGGCTGGAAGAGGTACTTTATCACTTTCATAGATGTGCCCTCCTGATATGGCCATGTATACATGTTGAGTGAAAAGTTAGAAGCCCTAGATTGTTTCAAGGAGTACAAAGTCGATGTAGAAACCCAAACACACCAGGAAATTAAAGTCCTTAGAATGAATAGGGCGGTAAGTATCCCTCACAGTTATTTAAAGAGTTTTGTACTATGCATGATATCATACACCAATTTTCCATGCCGTCTACTTACTCAACATAATGATGTAGCAGAGAGACAGAATAGAACCTTGGTGGAGATGGTGAGGAGCATGATGGGACATGTAAGCACTCCCCAGATTTATGGGGAGGGTCAGTTTTTGACAGGCGGTTACATTCTTAACCGGGCTCCCATGAAAGCTATCCCACCAACTCATGAGATTTTCATTGGGTGTGAGTGTGGGATGCTCATCCCATGTCCCAATACCTCACCAAACGAGGACATACGTGCATCTTCATAGGATACCCACATCATAATAAGGGATACTGGTTCTACTACCCATTTACAGGGGTTGTCCTTGATTTTAGGGATGTTCACTTCTTTGAGGATGAGTTCCTTGAAGCGCGTGGTACTCACAAGGAAGCTGGGTTTATGAGATATGAGTGTCATGGGGAGAGTTAGGATCTCGAACCACCTCTTCCTAGGAGAATAGGATTGAAGAAGAAACTTTGCATGAAACAGGTTCCTCAATTGCCATAACCTATACAGAAAAGATTCAGTCGGAAGAACCATGATTGATATACTTAACTCCATTAAACCAAACCATACTTGGGACCTAGTACCCCTAACTCACGGTATAAAACTCAGGCTGCAAATCGATCTTTAAGAAAAAGTTGAATTTGGATGGGAAATTAGAAAAATATGAAGCTAGATTGGTAGCTAAGGAGTTCACACAGAAATAATGAATTGACTATGATGAGACCTAATCCCCTGTGGCTAAGTTTTCGTCCATTAGGATCTCATAGCCATAGCAGCCCATTTCAACTTCAAACTCCATTAGTTGGATGTGAAAATAGCATTTCTGAAAGGCGAATTAGTAGAAGAAATTTATATGAAACGACTAGAGGGCTTCGTAAAAGAGGGAAAAGAACACCTCATGTGTAAACTTAAGAAATTCCTTTATGGCCTTATGCAAGCATCGCAATAGTCGTACATAAGGTTTCAAGACACCTTGCCAAAAGCTGGTTTTGTGCCAATCAAGAGGATTATTGTATATAGGTCAAGGTCAGTGGGAGTTACGTATTCATCTCCCTGTATTTGGATGTTATTCTTATAGCCAGTAGTTCAATGGCTCTCATCTTAGAAACAAAAGCTTTCTTGTCGCAACACTTTGATATTAAAGATCTTGAAGAGGCTTCATATGTTCTAGACCAAACCATCAAATTGTCCTAAGAAACATATTGCAAGAAAATTCTGGAAACATTTGAGATGGAAATTATAAGCCCATATTGATCGCCCATATTGTCCCACAAGTTTAAAGGAAAAAGAGGCCATGCAGAGAATCCCATTCAAAAGTGTAGTTGCTTCATTGTTGTGTGCTATTTTGGGGATGAGACCAGACTTATCGTTTGCCATGAGCATGATAAGCAAGTTCCAGTGCAACCCATTCATGGAGCCCTGGAAGGCAATTAAGAGAGTTTTTTGATATTGAAAAGGCATTGTTAGTCTCACGCTCACTTGTGGAGGAGGCTGAGTTATTCAGATACAGAGATATTATCAGGGTGATCCTGATGAGATGAAGTCCATGTCAAGATATGTCTTCACACTTGCCAGTGGTGTTGTTTCTTGGTACTTAGAAATACGACGCCATTGCAGTATCGACCATGGTGTCAGAGTATGTGACTTGTTGTCTCACAGCAAAAGCGGTCTTCTAGTTGAAGAAGTTCCTAAATCAGCTCAGATTTAATCCAGTAAAGCGCCCATGTGTGAAGAAGTTTTTAACTCAGCTCAGATTTAATCTAGTACAGTGCCTGAGTGTGAGGATCTTCTGTGAGAACCAGGTTGCAATTTGTGTGGCTAAGGAGCCACAATTTGTGTGGCTAAGGAGCCACAATTTTATAAGAAATTCAGGCATATAAAAGTGAACTATTACCAGTTAAGCACAAGACCGAGCAGGAGAGATTGAGGTTGCTTATCTCCCGACATAGGCTAGTTAGCAGATCCATTCACTAAAGCTTAGTGGCAAATGTATTCGCCAAGTACGTACATGGTGAGAGAGTATGAGAGAGTGATTGTACGACCTTCAAATGCCAAGTGGGACATTTTGGGGTTAGCGGCCTTTAAAGGCCATAAAAACATGTAAAAATAAAAAATTATAATGGGCGTGTTTGAACTGTTGGTCGACTAACCTTGGATTGAGCAGTCTAGGCCTAGGTCATGTCCAAAACCCTTATGCCTGGGCATAGGAACAACCTTTGAAGATTAGGGTCGTGCCTTGTTGAGGTTAGAGAGATGCCTAGGGATGATATTTGTGGGTAGGAGGTTGGTGGTCACCTGCATCTAGTTGGAGGTCTGTGAGGGTAAGGGCCAATTCCTCAACAACCACTGCATGGCATGTAGACATAATAGTCGCATTTTGGGAAGTTGCCTTGGGACGGTTGTGTACATGTGCGTAAGGGAGAGTCCCCTTGCACTATAGTAATATGTGTATGTGTTCTTCCTTATGGATTTGACTTGCTGTTGGAGGAAACCTGTAGCCACACACTAGTTTTGTGGTTCCACTATTTATTGGCCAGCTTCAATGGGCTAATCATGGGCTTGTGCGATTGAATGTGGGTCGTGGGTCATGGGTCTTGTTGGGTTGGTTCATGATGATGGTTGTGGATCACGAATTTTTATCATAGATGGGAGTGCTGCGGAAAGTCATTTGTCTTGACCCATTGGTACCAATCCACTTCTAGATTTATTTTGAATGTGATTTAGAATTTTTTGGAACCTATGGCCCGGCCCCCCATCACCCCGCATTGTGGGACACCCCTCTTTCCTAGTTAGTTGGGGAAATATTTTGAAAAGTTTGTTTTGTTATGATTTTGGCTTATTGACTTTGAATAAGATTTTCTAACTGTTAATTTGGATTTCTAAAGTAAATAGAACTTATTT